ATGGGGGTGAGCGAAAGAGAAGAGAAGGGAAAGAAGGGAGAGAGAGAGAGAGAGAGAGAGAGAGAGAGAGAGAGAGAGAGAGAATGAGTGGGTTGAGAGAGCAGTGTTGAATATAGAGGACAGTCTTCTGGACAGTGAGACTCCCCTGCTTGACATGGTCATGGTGAATACACCTCATGGCACAGCAGCTATTGGGGCTGGAGAGATGGCTCAGCAGTTAAGAGCACTGGCTGCTCTTGCAGAGGACCCCGGTTCGATTCCCAGCACCCACATGGTGGCTAACAACCATCTGTAACTCCAGTTCCAGGGGATCCAATGCTCTCTTTTGATCTCTGCAGGCGTTGCAAGACATGGATGAGCTTACATGTGTGCAGGCATTGCACTCATACATGTAAAATAAAAATAAATCAAGATACAACAACATGAGTTGTCTTAATGTAAGCCACAGACGTTGAGTGACAATGATGTGTCAATCCAAGTTCATAAATGGTACCCAATGTACCACTCTAATGGGGAATGTCTCAAATGTCTCAACAGAAAAGCATCCTACCAGCTGTTGCCTTGGCACATGCCTGTAACTGGGAGGCAGACTCGGGAGGATTGTCACACCTGAGGAAGACACTGTCTCAAAAGCAGGTAGGAGCTGGGGATGATGGCACACACCTTTAATCCCAGCAAGCTCTGGAGGCAGAGTCAGGGGGATGTCTGTGAGATAGAGGCCAGACTGGTCTACATACTGAGTTCCAGGACAGCTGGGGCTACAGGGAGACCCTGTCTAAAACAAAAAACAAAACAACACAAGAACAGAAAAGCACTAAACAAACCAACAAACAGCAACAAAAAGTAGCTAGGCCTCACTGGGTTGAGGCCCACCCTTCATTCAGTGACTACCACTGCGTCCGGCAGTCCCCACCAAGTCTTCCATCTCTGAGATCTCCTGTACCTACTCCTCCCTCATCCTGCACAACACTTAGGTGACCAACAAGGACTGTAAGTTCAATATCTTCATTAAACAGTTGATGCCCATAGTCACCCTTGGGGTGGGCGCTGGCTTGTTTGCAAAGTGCTAACACTGAAGCCTCATCTTCGGCTTAACATCTGGTATTGGATCAGCTCGAGCAGCTGGTGCTGCACCCGCAGGTGGGTCCTGCCTGTTCCACTGCTGCCCCAGCTGAGGAGGAAGTGGAAGCAAAAAAGATTCTGAGGAGGCTGATGATGACCTTTGTTTTTTTGACTGAATCTCTTTTGTTAACATGTTCATTAAACCTGTAAAAAAACCTATAAAGAGAAAATGTCAACAATCTCTAAAGAATTGAAGAAATAAATCTGCAGGTGGGGGTGGGGGCAGGTGATTGTAATTCCATGCCTTGAGAGACTGAGGCAGAAGAACGACAAGTTCCAACATCTCAAGACCCAGAGTGAGACTCAAAATCAAGCCAACCTGGGGGCTGGAGAGATGGCTCCGTGGTTAAGAGCACCGGCTGCTCTTGCAGAGGACCCACATAGTAGCTAACAACCACCTGGTAACTCCAGTTTCAAGAAATATGATGATGTCTTTTGGTTTCCATGGGAACCTGCATGCACGTGGTATACATATAGACAAGCATACAAAACACTCATACATGTTAAAAATGGACATCTGGGTACACAAACTTGACTTGGTAGGCCTTAACATATATGAAAGAAAGCATGAAATCCAGTGAGTGGGCTGTGGGGAGGCTGCAGATAGAGGAGATCTAGTTATGATAGAGATGTATTATATGAAATCCACAAAAATTCAATAAAATACGTACATTGAAAAAAAAAATCAAACCAATCTACACAAAAAGAACCAGGCAACCAAAGAAACAAAACCACACATTATTCCTACTTGGAAAACTCCAAACCAAGCTTCACTAGTGTTCTGGCTTCTTGGTTGGTTAAATTTTCAAAAAAAGCTTTATAAATGAATATTTTTTATTGAGTTTTTGGGCATTTCATATACTAAATCTTAACCTAGACTCCCTCCCCCATCCACACTCCCCCAACCCCCTCCCACCAGATTTCATGCATTTTGACATATATGTTAAGGTCTGTATGGTCAAATAAATAACAATCTTACTGAAACTCTATCAGAACCTGGACTGTGGGGGAGCATTGAAAATGTTTGATGAGACCAGCATAATCTGATGTCCCAGTTTGTCTCTCCATTGCTGTAACAAAATACTCTGACCAATACCAACTTGGGGAGGAAAGGGTTTATTCAGCTTACATCTCCCAGGTCACACAGTTCATAAGGGAGCCCAAGGTAGGAGCTCAGGGTAGGAACCTGGAGGCAGGAGCTAGATGGAGCACAGGCCATAGAGGATCACTGCTTACTGGCTTGCTCCCCTGACCCCTGCTCAGCCTGTTTTCTTATGCAACACAGGCCCACCTGCCCAGGGGTGGCACCACCCACAGTGGGCTGGGCTCTCCCACATCCCTAAACAATCAAGAAACTACCCCATGGACATGGTCACAGGCCAGTACAATGAAGGCAATTCTCCAGTTGAGGCTCCCTTAACCCAGGTGTGTCAAGTTGACACTAAAGCTATCCAGCACATCTGAGGTTTGCCCTCTGACTCCATCTGCCTTCCTGCCCACACCTGCCCTGACTCTTCCCTCTGCACACGCCTCCTCAAAGCTGCCCCTTTACTTGGTTTCTGTACCTGCTATGACTCCCATTCACCCCCAAGGCAGGCCAGACCACGCCTCTACTTCCCACACTCAGAGTGTGTTTCAGTGCAAGCCCCTTGCACCCTTACAGTCCCAATGGCTGCTCTGCCACCTCCACAGATGGTCACTGTTCCCTGCCAAGGCATCCAGTGGACTCACTGCAGATGCCTACCCAGACTACCACATAAGGCGTCTCTCTCCAGAGAGTGTGTCCTGGGGAAGGTGGCCATTTAAAACCCTCACTGATCCCTGCTGCTGAGCAGGTCACCACACTCTTCCCTGCAGGAGGAACAGACATTGACTCCCTCCTGGTGATGACTCCACCCTGAGAAACACAGCAGCCCTATGGCCTGCCCACAGCTGCTCTCTGAATCCAGTGCCAGCAAAAGCCTGAGACCCCACACTATAATTCCAAGTCATTCTGTGTCCACCAAGTGCCCAGGAGTCTGGGACCACACCACTACGCTGGGACAGCCAAGAACACTTGCCCTAAAGTCACTGTGTCTGTTAGGCAGCTCACCTCCTCCCCACTGCTGCCGGATATGCTGCTCCCTCCGATGCTCAAAACACAAGACACACAGACACAGACACAGACACAGACACAGACACATACACATGTGAGAGAGAGAGAGAGAGAGAGAGAGAGAGAGAGAGAGCATCCTGGCAGAAACACACTCTTAAAAAATTCTTGATTCATTTATTTATCTCATGTGTGTGAGTGTTTTGCCTATGTGTATTGCAAAGGCCCTGGAGGCCAGGAGAGAGGGTCAGATACCCTGGAACTGGAGTCACAGATGGTTGTTAGCTGGGGTGCTGGAAGTGAAGCCCGGTCTCCTTCTGCAGTGCTCCTCACTGCAGGGCCAGCTCTCCAGGCAAGAAGTGACTATATTCTACAGAGACACTGTGTCTCACAATCTGTCAGACTACTGAAACTGTGGACCCTAAAAAATGGGTATTTCCCCAGGAATTTCATGTCGGGAGAAGAAAATACAACCAAACAGAAGGGGGACCTTGTCCCCTGGTAAAGGGATTTCACTGACTTCTAACAGCTTGTCAGGCCACCTTCAGGACGAGACGAAGCCCGGAGCATGATGGGTCCTGGTGGGCACACCTAGACTGGGTCTGCTGAGATGCACATCCCCGATCCTCCATTTAACCTGAATCTCACTTCCTGACCCTGACGATGGACAGGAGTTGTCACTAGATCCACTAGTTCCACTTGCCAATGTAGCCATTTTAAATAAAATATTTTTTCTGCCTTTTACTATTAATTTGGTGGTTTTAACTGGCTTCTTGTGGTTGGGTGGTGGAACTTGGCTTCCTGGGGTAAAGACTGTGACCCCAAGTTTGTTAACACCCTCAGACTCACACCACACTCACTATACAGGGGCACAGCGAGGTCTCCCTACTCAGCACTGACCTGCAGACGACCCCAGTGAATCCTTCAGGATCAACAGCAGCAGCAGCAGTTGGCACACGGCGCTGGGTTCCCAGGACACCATCCTCACCAGTGCTGGTTCTTGTCCTGTGAAACAGAAGTCGAGGCCCAGCGTCCACTTTCACTTTATATGCCTTCCTTATTCCAGGTTCCACCCATCTGATTAGAAGACTGTACAGAGGATGTGAGTGGAAGAGATCCTGAGTGCGAAGGGGCTGGGCTTCTAGAACATTCAGAGCAGGTCCAGGGCTGCCGTGGGCACTGAGAGTCCCTGGCACAGTGAGGATGCTTTGGGGTCACACAGCCCTTTTTCAATCCTGCCCTGGACCTTGCTGAGGATGTGAAATAAATCCTTTGCAGGGAGCCCTGTTGCATTTTCTGTAAAAAGCAGGAAGGTTTCCTCCCTTGATGTCTGTTTGGGTCAGGAACTGGAACACACGGACCCTCCACCAGTCAGAGCAGCCCCACTTCTGGACCTGGGATTGGTCACCTGCTCCCTGTATTAGACCCTGGCTTGCTGGTCAAATATCACACAAAGGTCACATCTGACATGGATTCTTCTGACCTCACTGAACCTTATTTGTGTTTAACACTCATGAAATGCAGCTGAAAAGGAGGGAAGCACTTGGAAATCGGCCAAGCTGAAGGGAAGGTTCAGCCCTACTGGTCTGTCTGTAGCAGGTTTGTGTTTGAACAGCAGTGGGATGAGATGTGTAGACGGGAATCTCCCCAAGCGCTGTCTCTTCACAAGCTCTGAGCCGTGGAGGGAATCACTCACGCTGCCAGAGGAGGAAGCTGGCGGTTCTGTGTGCACTCCTGGTGTCCCAGCCAGATCTGAGGCAGACCCAGCTAGTCCTGTGGACACCAGGCTGAGGATAGTCGGGTTTGGTGGAGGCTGAAACACCACAAGAGGAGGAGTCTCCATTGTTACTGGTCCAGACTTCAGTAACCTGGAAAGGAAGAATGTCTGAAATGTTCTGAAATCATGATCCAGGGAAAATTCCTTTGTTCTTTAGAAAGCTGTGTTGACAGAGACACCCTCTCTTCGCAGTCAACACCTAAGAGCACAGGAGTCCTTCCTTCTGTAGGAAGCAGTCTAGATGCACACACAGGTAATGCTTTCTTGGTTCTTTGTTAATTTTCTAGCTAGATGCCATCCAAAGGAAAGGTTAAGGAATTCTGTAGGAAATTAACCAGTTTGTGCTGCCTAACACAGGTAGAAACCTAATCTCTAAGCTGTGTTTTATTCAGATCCAGCAATCTGAGGAGGCAGTGGGTTAACACCCTAAAGATCTGCCTCCATCTCCGCTTTAGCTAGGAGCTCACGTAGGGAGGAGAGGCCAAGACTGTCAACCATTGAAGGTTTAGTCTGGCCCCTATGGGCGGTGGTCAGCCTTGGCTCTGAGATTTATGGTGTTGCTTCTCTCTTTATCGTATCTTCTTTGTCGCAGGAGAGGGTTCGGCAAGGCCACTGAGTCATCTTCTCCAACCTTTGATGGATGATGATGTTACTTCAGAACAAACAATCCGGTGGTAGTGTGTATATGTGGTTCCTCCCTACAGATGGGACCACAGGTGATATCTTAAAACAGATAGACTTTGAGGTGCCTGTTTCAAAGTCCAGTCCTGAACCCATAAAGGACCCATACAGGGGGCTGCCCATTGTGTCCATTGGTGGAGGTCATCCCTCTGTGTCCCCAGCTAGAACACAGCTAAGCAGGAGGAGGGTGTGTCCTGAGAGCTGACACTGGCCAGGTATTTCTGGCCCTCTGTATAGCAATGAACAGAAAGACTGGCTGGTCATGGTAAAATCAATAGAATTTATTCATAATTTAGAATTGCCTAAAAATTCAATTCCTCCTTCTTACCTAGAAGTTCATTCCCTGGTAGTGGCTCAGCTGAGTCAGTATCCGGAGACAGAGGTTATCTCCCTCAGAAATTGAGCACTTGGATAAATGACCATTTAGGGCCTGGTAAGAAAGGCTCTGGTGTCAGCACAAAGGGCTGACGTGATTTGAGGCACAGTGGGATAAAGTGGGGAGTTCAAGATCTTTGGGGTTCAGGGTCTCTAGTGCATCTGAATGAAGATCCTGGGCAATAAAATCATGTGCATCATGACACAGCTGGTCTTTCAGAGCTGTTGAGAGGGTTAAGGGACCAATGAAGTGAGTCCATGGATGCTTAAAGCCCCAGAATCTGCATCATGAGGTTCTGGGGTCAGGGAGACCTAGACTGATGTCTTATTCCTGCTTTTTCTCAAGGTGTCAAAACACTTTTTGCACGGTGCTGACTTCCCCTTGCTGGTCAGTAGCACAGGCTGGATTAGGACCCAGGTCTCCTGGGCTGCACTTCAGGGAGCACCAAACATCTTGCTCCCGACCTCTGGGAAGGGCAGGTAGGCCCTGTGCTCAGACCTAGATGGGATCCTAGATGGGATCCAGGGAAGAAGTTCCCAAAGCTGCTCCGTGGGCTGGCAGAGCTGGGCTGCAGGTATGTGAGCCAGGGGGCTGTAGACATTGACTGCTCCCAGGGACATTTTCCTTGGGTTCAATCCACTGGTTTTTTACAATTACTGAGGGTGGATTTTGAGTCTGGGAAGAATGTTATGAATCATCCTGCAGCATGCAAGTGTGGCTTCCCTCTGGCCTCAGTAAACTCCGTCCAGGGGCCTGGCCGGGATGTGGTAGAGAATGTCAGGTATGGAAGGAGGGGCCCAGGGTCCTCAGGGCTTGAAGGTCTTTCTTCTGTAGGGAGACAGGATTCTCTGTCAGTCCCATCTTGAACCACAAGCTCAGGACTCCAGGGACTGACTCTGTTCTCTGCAGTGGGCCTTCTGTTGAGCATGTCCTGATGGTCAGGCCTAGCTCCTGCCCTGGTGGGTCATCCACAGAGAACAGTGAATCCAGGGCCTATATGGTCCAGGCTGTGCCACCAAGAATGGAACCAGAGCCATGTACTGAGCTGCATCAGGACCTGATTCCACGCCTGCAGCTCCAATGGCGGCTCATAATTCAGAGCTGTTTTCTGGCAGGATAGGCCCCTGCAGAAACACTCCCAGGTTCCCTGGCTTGGCTTCATACCTTCGCATGCATCCAGGAGCCCAGATTTTGGGCGGCCTGGGAAGGGCATCTGAGGTTCCCAGCCTCTGCACACAGAGGGCTCTGAAAGGTGGGTGGTGGGGGGCATGCCAATGCTCCTCCCAACACACTCCTGGCTTCTGGTGGCCCCCATTATTACAACTCCTGATTATAGCACAGTTGTTTGGCTTGACTTCAGACTCACCCTGTTAGAGTTCACAGGAATATCTGCTATGGTGGGTGTTTTTACAGCTACTGAGGGTTGATTTTATGTGTTAGGTGGTGGTCAATAATGGAAGTTTTCCAGGTGCATCTGGGGACCCCGTGTGATCTGATACGGTGTTTGGGTGGAGCATTCTGTGTATCTGCCGTCTATATGCAGCATGCAGAAAGTATCCTTGCTGTCTCCTTGAAGGCTCCAAAGCATCTCTCTTGATCTCTAATCATGTTTCTCCTGGAACATCTTTGCTAGCAACTCCCATTTTGTGTGGGATTTCTTGGACAGTCTTTGTTCCTTACCTTCCACGTTTTCTATTTAGTGGTATTTAACCATTGTTTGTTTCTTTCTTATTTATTTATTTTTGGTCTTTTTGAGACAGGGTCTCCCTGTGGCCCCAACTGGCCTGGAACTTGCTATGTAAACCAGGCTGGCCTTGAACTCACAGAGATCCCCCTGCCTCTGCCTCCCAAGTGCTGGGATTAAAGGTGTGCACCACCACGCCCACCTAACCTGTGTTTCTTGTAGCAAAAGTACAGCAGGATTTTTTTCTTTTCCTTTTTTAGCCCTAGGTATGCAATCTTAGTCACTTACATGAATCACGTGTCATCTATGTTTAATGCAACTACTAATCTATCTGGCCTGTTTACATCTAGTATTTTTCACCTATATTATGACAAATTATTTTCTTTCCTTTAATGAAATATTCTGTGGTTGTTTTATTACAGTTAGGCTGCTATAGGAAAATATAGTGCAGATTGGGTGCCTTTCACATGATAGACATTTATTGTTTAGAGTTGTGGAGCCTGCAAAGTTTAAGATCAAGTCACCAGCATGTTTGGTGTCTGGTCAAAGTCTGGGCTCGTAGCTGATTTCTTCTAGCTGTGCCCTCATACCCTGGTCATGGTCTGGGTCTTCTTCAGAGGCCACCAGTCCCACACACGTGGCTCTCCCCTTGTGAGCTCATCTTTATGCAAGGTCCTCCCCTCTTCACAGCATTATATACAGGAAGAAGTTCCTATGTATAAATATGAGGGTAACGTTCAGACCACAGCAACATCACACCATTTCCTTGCAATGATCTTTTCATTGTAAACGTTTATCAACTATAGTGGTCTCTCAGAGACTGGAGTACGCCCCCTTTGATGGTTAGATATAGATTATAACTTTTTGCACTTTGTTGACACTGTTGTACACTTACAAATAATAATTTCTGTTATTTTCTTCTACTTTTACCTGGTTATTGTTGCATTTTTTAAATTTTAGAGATGAAAATCCATACGACATCTCATCTGTCTATTTAGTCACGTAGTCTCAAATTATGAATTATTTCCAGACTTCCACATTTGCATTTTAATCCGTGGAGTAACTCTTTTCCTAATAAAACAGCCCAGTTCCCTTTTTCTGTTTTCTATTTGTGCTGGATAGCTTCAGTTGTCAACCTGTCATGCCTGGAAGAGGGAACATCTTCCACTGGACTGGCCTGTGGCCATGTCTGTGGGAGCATTTTCTGGATTGCTGTGTGATACAGGAGGGCTCAACCCACTGTGCGTGAGGCCACCCCTGGACCTCCAAGTTTCTGCCCTGAGTTCTTGGTCAGTGTTTTTACCACAGAAAATAGAGAGTAACTAGGACATTGGTGTAGGACTTTCTACATTTTTATCTTATTATGTGATGACATCAGGGGACCATATTTGTCAAGGATCTAGAGTATGCCTATGAGTCCCAAAAAATGATTCTTTTTCAATTTTTGGTCTCTTTTTTGGAGCTGAGAACCAAACC